GAGCAATCGATTCGTTCAGTGATAGTGATAGCGACATCGATATTGTAAGTGAAGATTTCGATAATTTCGTGCTGGCAAGTTTTTATTTGTTATTTCTCTGGGGGAATTGTAGGATGCTAAATGCATTTAGCGTGAAAATTCGTTTTTGAGCTGCTGGTTTAGTGCACTGAGTTCCTCTCAGGGAATTTTTGGATCAACAAGGATGCGACGTATAACTGTATTTGAACATCGGTGCATGAGGACTTCCACAATTTTACAAGTTTTCGCAAAAAAATGCAATAGGAGCAGCTAAATTTGTAAGCAGATGATTTCTCAGCCAAAAACTCAGTTCGGATGCCTTTTAACCATATTCGAATAAACATTCAGGGGGTTCGTTTCTAGCCGCATTCAAGGAGCGGCAGCTATTCCTACGACTCGTGAGTTGACTTGCTTGAAGTCTGTGAAAAACCAGTGTTTAGGTGAAGGGAAGCAACAAAAACAATTTTGAAACAGCCACCAATACAGCGGAGAGTGAAGTTTTTGGCGCTGGAGGACTCAGTTTCGAGCAAAAGAGATTGCTGGACGATGCTATGCTCGATGTTGACTCCTCGGATGAGGAAGAAAGTATCGACGTGGACCATCCGATTTACAATAAAACTGCAGCTGCAGCTGCGAGAAAGCACATCAAAATCATTGGTAAGAATAGTCAGAGAAAGCTCTGGGCAAATCTCAATTCACAGCCTCGCTCATAACTCAGCTACCTTTCTAAGCGTATGCAAACGCGCTTTCGTTTTTCAGCAAAATTTAGCACTCGCCAGCTGATTTTAGCACCCTTTTAATCATCCACGGTGTGAGTGGCACTGTGGCTCTCAAGAAAATAGGCTTAAAACATTTGTGCAAGCACAGTGATTGTATAATTTGACGTTTTTGACTCTTACTTTCTTGAAATCTTAACCTAGCTTTCATTTAGGCCTGCGATCATAGATTTGAAAAGATTTGGGCGTGACCAAATTAGAAATAAATTTGAAACCGCTGCATCGCATACTGGCAGAGAGCATCTTTCCGAAATTTCACCTTTGCAGATTCCCAGACACACGATTTAGCAATTTTTCTGCCAAAACTTTCTCCTGCCCGTTTGTTAGGTACATTGAAAGTTGGCACCCCCTACGATGGCACTCAGCTAATGTAAAACTGATAAAATTTCAGCAAAAAAGCTTGTTAAGCAACCCAGTTGGAATACCCAGAAAGATGCGCACACATGCATACACATAACCCAGGCTGGAACGCACCAGGCTTGCCGGTGCGATCATGCGTTTTTGCAGTAAACTCACAGGTCTAATATCAGGAAGTAACTGCTAGTTTCGAAAAAGGCTATTGTTATCATTCAGCAACTTATGAATTTAAAATTTGGTTTTGTTGTGCTGGCCGTACATGATGAGTTCTGATTTTGTTG